CAAAGAAAAGAAGGAAAAAAGAGAAAAAGAAAGAAAGAGAGAAAAAAAAAAAGGCACACACACACACACACACACACACGTACACATACATAACTCCCTATTATCCTAGTACTGCCTTTGCCTTTTTTTTTCTTTTGTTTTTTTTTTCTTTCTTTCTTTTTCTTTCTCTTTTCGATTCTCACCAGTTATATACTATCCCTCCTCACACACACACACTCCTACTTGACTTCCCCCCGATGGCCCATAATAGTAATAGCAGCCCGCGGTATATTCCGCTGCCCAAATCCCTCTGGGAATTACGCGATCGCTTTCCAACCGTCACTCGATGTGTGTTGCTGCAGTGTGTACGCTGCCATCGCTGGGTCGCACAGCCCGTCACTAACAGTATTCCAGATGTTGTGCAAACCTGCCCAATACCCGCAACAACAACAACAACAACAACAACAACAACAAGTGAGGTAGGGACAACACAACCATCATCACAACAAGAGCAACAGAAGCAAGAGGATCAGAAAAAAAATGAACAAGAGCAACAATCCTTGAAGGAGGAATCAAGAGATGAGTGGAGATCACCTCGATTGCGACAACATTATGAAAAAGTTTTAGATGTTATTAAACCAACCAGAACACATCAGCATCATGATGAACCACAAATAGAACCTTCATACTTTATACCAAATCCTGCTAACTTTACGTGTCAGTGGGTTTACTGTGCATTAGGTGATGTTTGGGCAGATATGCGAGAACAATGGTTGGGGGAATTATATGTCGCTATGATGGGTTCAAAGAATGATGAAGAGAATGGTGTTGGTAATGGCAGTGGCAACAATAATAACAATGGCAACAGTAAAGGGCCACGACAGCGAGGTTTATCACATTCTCAACAAGAACGATTAAATGATGAATTAACAAAGGAACTTCATGGACGACGTAGTGAACGTCTCGCTAAAAGACCACATAATGGTATTGATATTAAGTATGAAAATAGTGATTTGTATGAGAACGCTGCAGAAGCTTCACATAATGGACGAATTGCACAACATGTTAATAATCTTATTCATCAAGATGAAGCTGTTTTAGCATCTTTCTGTTGGATTAGTTGTGATCGATGTGGAAAACTTCGTCGTGTACATCAACCATTCCCTGGTGGTGCACCTTTTGTTTGTGCATTAGCTGTAAATATTGGTTCTTGTTCTGTACCAGAAAATGAGGGATTAGGTTCTGTTTTTCGTGGTGAGTCCACACGAACATCTATATATGATAAGATGGAAAATAATAGTTTAGGTGATTTGGCATTACGTGAATCTGTGGATGCAGAGGCTTCTTTTGCAATTACAGCTGCGGCTACTGCGGCTTCAGGGAAAAGAGCCTATAAAGTGGCTACTGCAGGAAGACGTCAAGGTAGACGTGGTAGTCTTTCATTAGAATCTACACTTCCACTTCTTCGTGAACTAACAACAGTCTTGCGTAAGAGAGCACTTGGTGGGTTTGTGAAGAATCTCATGTTAATGCCACAAGAAGTACGTGCGAAGCGAGAAGAGGTTGTACGGGCTTCTATTGTAATTGCCGAAGGTGGAAGTTACACAGATTCCACTTCTCCTAAACGAGACAGCGGTGGAAGTCCACAGCGTGGGGTGCGAAATGGTAGTACATCACCTACGCATACCCCAATAAAACAAGAACAACAACAACAAGGAAAACGAGAAGAGAAAGAAGCCTATTTACAGGAAGAAGAACGAAATAGACATTCAAAGGGAGGAAAGAAACCACTATCATCATCATCACCATCTGAAGCTTTTCAAGGAGAATCTCCTCCTCGTCCTACTAAACGATTGGGATGTCCACCACGTCATGCCAAGTGGGAACTACGAGAGGATGCCAACTCACATCGTATTTCTCTTGTGGTGAATCCTCCAACTGTATCACCGGATGCGGTTGCCCATTCTAAACAATCATCACCACCGTTAACGCAGCCACATCAATATCAACAACAACAACAACAACAACGAACACAAAGAGAGAAACAATTTAATTCGACTTTTAACACAGAAACTATAGTGAAATCAACTGGAGTGGTGGTAGATGTTAACTGTAACGGCAGCAGCAGCAACAAACAGATGAGAAATTCAATGGATAAAGAAGAAAATAAAAAACCTTCTATCACGGTAGTGCCTCCAGCGGAAGTAGGATTTGAAAAAGTGTCGTCAATGAATGAAGAACTTTATACGGGTTCTTCAAGAAGGGTAGTTGGTAGAAAACGCTCAAAACAATCCTTAATAGATGACTATTTTAATCCGGATCATAGCAGTGTTAGCCCGAAAACCCCTGAAGTTTCTAGTCCTCTGGAGAAGAACCACAATAACACCCATGAAAGGAAAAAGAGAGCCAAGAAAGAAGATAAAAAGCAAGAGAAAGAGAAAGAGGAGGATGTGGAAATTATCCATTGGGTTTGCTGTGATGTATGTAATAAGTGGCGCATTGTTCCACAAAAGATACCAGAGGGTACAGAGAAGTGGCAGTGCGTTATGCGTGGAAATGGAACGAGTTGCAGTGATACTGATGATGAAATTCGTATGAATCGTTCGGAGGCGCAGCGAAAGACTCGAGGAAGACCAAGGAAGGTGAGGTAACTTACCTTTGAAACGTGTATATGCTTTTCTTTTCTTTTTTTTTTTTTCTTTCTCTTTCTTTCTTTATTTCTTTTTTTTTTTGTCTGCAGCTACGCATGGGGTTCTTTTTTTTCCCCCCTTAAAGAAAAAAGAAAGAAAAAAGAATAAATTGAGGAGAATGAGGTTGGGGATCTCCATTCTCACCTCCTCGTGTTTGTATTTATCGTTTAACTGTATGTTTTTTTTTCTGGTTTTTTCTGTTCTGTTGTTGTTGCTCTTGTTCTTACTTGGGGTGTCATTTCTTTTCTTTTTTATTCTTTTCTTTTCTGTTTGGTTTGATCTCTTTTATACCGTCTGCGGTTATTTGAACGTTCGCTGTTTTTAGTACTATCATTTTTTTTTTTCTTTACAACAGCTACCGTACGAAAAAAAAAAAAAAAAAAAACAGATTATAAACGTGAGTAGAAAGTACAGAAAGGTAGACGACACACCACGTACACACAGAAACAAAGTAAAAAAAGAAAAAGAGAAGAAAAGATCCCGCAAGAATACTATATATATATATATATATATATATATAGTTGTAAAGAATTTCTAAGATTTCTCTCAGGTTCTATAGTTCGAGATCTTTTTATAGTTTTATTGATTACAAGGAAATATAAATATAGATATTTATCTATATAAGTAAAAAAAAAAGTATTTTTATATACACTTTATTATTTCTGCTGAAATGTCTCGTACCCTCTGTTTTGTCTGTTCCAGGTGTGAGCACCCAATATGCACACGTGAAGATCTTATTATGACCACAGTTGCTTGTGGAACAACAGAGAATGCGTTTGTATACGATCTAGAAGACATGCTTAATCTGGATACTTCCGTACCTTGCTACAGTGGAACTGAGGTTGCTGAAGAGACTATTGTGGTGTCGGATAAAATACTGGGATTACCTATGCCACCAGAAGCACGTAAATTGGCATTAGAGGCTGTTCTGGATTCCCATCGCTTTCAAGAACAATTGGATAGTGCAGATACTCCTCAAGTGTCAGTGGAAGAACGACGAGGTGCTAATGATCCTTTAAATACATCCCTTCCTAGTAGTCCTTATGGGACTTCTGATACAACGGAAGAAGTAAATGAGAGATTGGAACCACCAACGGAACGAATAGCTTCAAATGAGGGTACAAATGGACCTTCCACAACACAATCATCATCTCTACGCTTTGGTAGAGTTCAAGAAAGTCGTGTAGATTTAATTTGTGTGAAGAAGGACGTTTTAAATGGTGGACTTGTACACTGTACTAAAGACCGTGCTGGTAGTGGTGGTAGTGAAACCACTGCTAACGCTACTACAAGTGGTGATTATGGTACTGTTAATAATAATAATAATAATAATAATAATAATAATAATAATAATAGTGGTGGTGGTGATCTTGACAGTAACAGCACAGCCACTACCACTACCACTACTACTGATACGACTAGCAGTGGTGGAGGGGCTTCATTACCGCAGATGCCGTCTGCTATTGTGGATGCCTCCCGCCGCCCACCGCCTCCCACCCGTTGGTCTTCACATCCCGGCAATTTTGTGGTGGAAGAGGCGTTCATTCAAGTTCGTCGTCGCACGAAAACAGCCCGTTGTCCGTGGTTTGAGGCGTATGAGTGCCATGGACGACTGGAGTGTCCGGATTGTCATTTCGGACTCGCGTATCTCTTTGTACGGAAGTCCAACACACATGATAATATCAATACCAATAAAAATTATAACAGCAATAACAACAGTACAGTTGTTGGGGAAGAAGGGTCGGATGAGACGTTATTGGATGGGAATTCTGGAGAAGAGGCACAGGAGCCTCATCAGAAGAAGGAGAGGAAAGAAGAAGAGTCTCGCAGTGATGAGAACAGTCATCAACAACAACAAGGACAACAAACGGAGCCGGGTAATATGATAGAGTTTCCTGAAATTTTTGTGGGTCTGGAACTAAAACGGATACGACAGTGTGAGTGGGATTTACGTAATTTCCAGAAACGATATCAACAGGCTAAAAATCTTAAAACCTTTCGTGAATTGTTTCCAGAATCAGAAGAACTTGAAAGTCTTCATAGTCGCCTTAGAGCGCTTCGAACACAGTCTGAACTTTATAATAATCTTCTTTGTAAGCATAAAGAACAAATTGATGTTCAAACTGCACTTTTGAAAAGTCAGAAAGAACGTATATTAACTTGTGAAGAAAAACTTCGAACTATGCAACAAATAATTGAAGCTCAAAGAGTACAACTGGAAATGCAAGATAGACAAATAAAACATCAAGAAGAACTGGTGCGAAATCATAAAAGTCAAGTTGTTACACAGCAACATCAAATTCAAGTGGAGCAACTTTTATTAAGTGAACAAAGTCGAACGATTGAATCTCAACGAGAACAAATTGCACTTATACAAGATCATCTACGGGCACGTTTGGTTAGGGAACAGTTGGAAGCTCGATGCGGTCGACTCACTACCCTTTTACATCAAGCAGAAGAACAAAGATTGGCCCAAGCAGCTAACAACACGGCATCACTTCATCGTCCTTCAAGTGAAAATGTTTCCTCATCAGAATCTTCTGGAACGGCTGTATATCAAGGTTCTCAAGAAGGAGATGAGGAAAGAGAAGGTATTCCAACTAGACGAACTTTTCAACAGAGAGAAGAAAATCTTCGGCAAGAACGACAATTTCGCAGTATTGCCTTATCATCTGTTGCTTCAGGTAGTGAACGTAAAACTGAGATGGAGGGTGGAGAACGTCCGTTACCAAACAAATCGGTTTCTGCATCTCCCACTGAAGGTGAAGTACGTACTCGATCTCTCTTAAGCAGTAGTCCCAACAGTAATGGTGTTAGTGGTAGTAATAGTAATAGTGGTGGTGGTAGTAATAACAATAGAAGTACTGCCGAGCACAGAACGCTGACAATGCGAATAACTGCAGAAGAAGAATGCGCTCAGCGGCGAGTTGATTTGCGATCCACAGTGCAAAGCAGCAGTTCCACAAAGACTCTTCAAACAGAGAATGAATCCGAGAGTGTGGATGGTACTCAGGCATCGGTATACAGAGGCACACACACATCATCTGCCCCTTCAGAGAGAGAGGATTACAAAAACTCCCCCAAATAAACCTTATTATTATTATGATTATTATTATTGTGGTTACTAAAGTATGTGTGTGTGTCTTTTTTTTTTTTCTTTTTTTCTCTTTTTTTTTTTTGTTGTGATGTCCACAACACCCCCTTCTACTGTCAATATGTTTTCGTCAAAGAGAAAAGAGCAAGAAAGAAAAAAAAAGGCGTCGTCAACTCAATATATCTGTGTCCTTGCTACATATAAATTCTCTGTCTTTTACTTCTCTCTCTCTCTCTACACAGACGTACACGAAACATGCAGCTGATCTAAACAACAACAAAATAAAAACAGTTTACTTTTTTTTTTCTTCTCTCTCTATTTCTCTGCATGTGGGAATATGTATGCCCCTTTCAATTTTTAAAAAGAAAGAAGGGTAGGTAAAGAACCAAAGTTTCTTTATTTGTGTACGCGCTGTAAATACTATGTTTTTATGTTATGAAGATTACTTTTTTCTGTTACTACACTCCTAGTACTCATTTGCGTTTGAGATTACCAGAGTAATGAAAAACTTTGACAGAAACAAAGGGGATAACGTAAATAGGAGAAAAGAGAAAAGATAATACAATTTGCGGAGTAGAGTAATAACATTTTTCAGTGAAGAAAAAAAAACAAAAATGATTAAAAGGAAGGAGGGAAAAATTTAAAAAAAAGAAAAAGAAAGAAAAAAAGAATGAAGGGATTATTTGCGATGCATTGAAACAACCGTGTCTCAGAGCATCATCGAAAACAAGAAAAAAAAAAAAGAAAAAAAAACAAGAGGTGGGAAGCGTCAAACAGAATGAAAATAACGATGAAAAAAAAAAAAAAAAACACCTCACGTTTTTTTTTTTTTTTTTTTAAAGAAAACAAAAATTCCTTTTCTTCCTTTCTATGTATATTTATTTCTCTCTTCTTTAATGTTTTCTATGACCATGTCTTCCCTGATTCTTTTTTTCACAATCTTCTTTTTCTTTTTCTTTTTTTTTTTCCTTCTCCTTCGCTCTCTTTTACTTTTTGTTTTCAATTAACAAATGAAAGAAGGTAGCTCAATGGCATCAAGTGCCCTGGAGGAAGAAAATAAAGCTCTCCGCACGAAGGTATCCGTTCTGGAACGAGAATTAAAGTTACGGAATGCTGAATGTGCCAAACTTCGTCAGGATCTACAGGAACTTTCACAAGTGAAACAAACAAATGAATCTCAACGAGACGTTATTACGGGACTTCGAAACCAACTCGAATTAACGAGTGTAGCCCATGCGTCCGCAATGGAAATGATTGAAAAAATGAAAAAAGAAATACGTGATAAAGAACATCGTGAGCGTGTGGAATCCTTGAATGCACGTCTTAATGAACACAAACCCTCTCCATCAGGTACCTCAAATGTCGCTTCTCTTAGTAATGCTTCTGCTCCTACTAGAGGTACATCAGGAGGTGTTGTCTTGACAAGTAGTGGACCACAGATTATATGTAATAGTTCTGGTATTTCTTCACTTGGCTTTGCCCAAGTTCAACGACCAGTAGATTTCCTTGGTGGTGTACAGAAAGGAACACAACAACAACAACAACAACCTGCTGTAGATGGAGAAGAAGATGAAGTGGCACGCATTATGGAAATGGCAAAGGAAGAGGCTATGATGGAAATTCAGTATGCTGAAGTGGAGGATCACGAAGAGAAAGAGTTGCGTGAGCGGTTTGAAGCACTACGAAATCGATGAGTTTTTAATTTTACAGAGATTGGGGTGTTCTACGTTATCTCTGCAAGAATGGGAAAGTAGGCGTGGGAGGGGTAAAAGGAAAAAATAAAAAAAAAAAGATGAGAAAAGGTAGTTGTGAATCTGAGTTTAGTTGTTCTTTGTTTGTTTGTTTTTCTCTTTTTTTTTTTTATTTCTTTTTGTTCATTTTGTATGATATTGCGTGTATAAGAATGAGGGGGTAAAGGGTAATTCTATTGCATTGAATCTCCTATACAACATAATATGGCAAGCTATTTTTCTTCTTTTTCTTTTTCATCTCTACACCTCTTATCTCTCTTATTGACACCGATTTATCATACTATTTCTTCTTTATTTTATTTTTTTTACTCTTTCTGGCCATTTGTAATGTATTATTATTATTGTTTTAAATGTATTTATTTATTTATTTTTGTGCTTTTTTTTATTCTTTTCCCCTTTTTTTTTTTTCTTTTCATATGTATACCGCATCTTGGGTCTGTTGGGGGTGGTAAAAGAAAAAAGTATCAACAATCCAAGTGGAAAAAGTAGTATTTTCTCTCTCTCTTTTTTTTTTTTTCTCATTCAGCAAAATGAGTCGTTTACTTTTACGCAGTATGCCGTTACTCTGTGTTATTGTTTTGATTCTATCTACCTTTACACATCTGCGTGCGGAGGCACGTGCTTCCACAGAATCAGAATTACGCTGCACCCCTACAGTAATAGAACCTCATCAAAAATCGCAATGTGTTATTAATGTACGGGATAGTCAGCAAGAACCCACCATGGCATTTGATGTCTCAGACTTCTCTGTAGCCCCATACAGCTCTGTGGAAAAGGTTGACGTGGAGGTTAGTACACTGCAGCGCGGTGATGATGTGACAACGGTGGTATTTGAAGTATCTGCTTCTAAAGGAACTGTTATTACATTAAATGTTTTGTATACATCAGGTTCAGAAAGTTCTCCTATTCGAAATAGTGGATTGGTTTTATCAGTGATGTCATGGCCAGCTGTACGTATGGGTCCTATTAAATGTGATGTACCTGCTGAAGGTTTGGCACTTCGTGAAACTACAACATGCACAGCAACATTGTTTGACTCGGATAATCATTATGCGGTTGTACATGAAAGTGATATTACTTTTTTTGAAGAGAAAAAAATGGGATCTTTTCGTTTTATTTCAGGTAAACGTGAACTTGTATTTAATTTTACAGCACCTACTTCACCTGGGGTAACGGGTTCAGCTTTTTCTCTTCAAGTGACTCTCAGGGATGATACAAGTAATACCTATTCAGCGAAGTTTCCTTTACTTTTTCCAAAGTTATCCCCAGTTGCAAGTTCTTCTACATTGACTTGTAATAATGATAGTATACCAATTGCTTGTACATTACGTGCCGCAGATGCTATAGGTCCTGTTTTGTTGAATCAAGATCATTTTCAAATACAGATGGAAGTACTTCAAGAAGGATTAAATGGTAATTCCTTGTGGAAGGAAAATACAAATAAATTTGATATTAACTTTCAGCATCTGGAGAAAACAGATACTGCAGTTCTTTCATGGAGACTCAAAATTAATAATGCTATAAATTTACAACGTTTACAGGTGTATACTGTGCCAAGTGCTGTAGGAAATGTAGAAAAACGACGTGAAGGAGTACAGGGATCACCATTCATTTTTGTTTCAGGTATTATGCCAAATGCTGCCTACGTATCTTTACGTGGATGTCGAGTTTCTATGATAAATGCTGGTAACCGAACATTGTGTTACATTGATCTTCATAATGGTGTAACAGGTGATGTTCGATATTTTAATCTTGATAGTACGCTTAAAGCAACTTTTGAGAATATAACATATATACCAGTGGATCCTGTTTTTCGTACCCCAGTGGTGAGTTTTGGATACATTGCTCCCCAAGTAGTTACTAGATCGGAAGATTTCATTACGCTTATGGTAGGTGGACAGAATGCTATGCGATCTCCCTTCCGTATGAACGTATTCCCACCACGTACAGATTCAGAAGAAACTGTTGAATCCATTGGAGCACATAATGCCGTAATTATTGGTTTTGGTCTTGCTTTTTTTGGAGTTATCATTGGTACTGGATTTTTTGTTGCCCTTCAACGTAATATCCGAATGCATCGCATTCGAATTGAACGGGCACTACGCAAAGCCCAAATGGTACAGCTGGAGGATCAAGAGGGGCCTTCCATGGGTGGACAGGTCTCCATTGATGTTCTGGAGCACAAAAACCAGGAGAAGGATCAACAACAACAACAACAACAACAACATTCACAGCAGCAAATTTACCATGAATCTGAAAGTGACTAGGTAAGATGATGGTGTAAGCGAATAAGGAAACTCCAAGAAGAATGGAAAGCTCTACGTATATATTACGTCTAAAGGTTTGGGAATAATATTTTGCTTTACTATGTTTGTCTTCTTTTTTTGCATATTATTTTTTTTTTCTTTTTGTCTCTGTATGTATGTTATTTTCGTCTCGTTTTTGAAACGTTGTACAATCATATATGCACTATTTTGCTTAACTTTATTCTTTAAGGACAAAAGGTGCTGCTCTGAAACCTAAAGGCGAGCGCAGCACTCAAGAAAGAAAACAACAAAAAAAAAAAAAATACAAAACAGCAACACATAGAGGAAAAGGGAACAGAAAAAAAAAATAGAAGAAGCGGTTCATTTTATTTTTTTTCCACTGTACTCAAACAGTGAAGGATACGAGTGTATTGTTGACTGAGACAACAGCAAATCAAAGGATCAAAGAGGGTTATAAGGTATCCCCTCCCAAACAAAAAAAGATACTACTTAAGCCTCACTGATATTCTGTTTTACATAACGCAAACATTGGAATATATAAAGCAATATTTGAAAAGAAAGGGATATATTTATATTTATAGGGAAAGATGAAGGTAATTCTACCCCACTTATTTCGACGATTCGTACCTGTCATGGTAGTCATGATGACTCTTCTGCTCTGTATTAATCCCACGAATGCAGTAGAGGATATCATCATTGGTGAGCTGGATGGCACCAAAAAGCTGACCATTGATGACATCAAAAATGGATTCAACCAGAGCAACAAAAACTACATAAAATCTTGTGACCAGTTCAGTTCATATGCGGACAACTTTCTCCTCACAGTTGAGATGGGTGCATACAAGGATTATCTTATTCCCCAGGCAAACGCCACTCTGTGTGATCTCCTCACCAGCACAACATCTGCAAATAAATACGTCTATGCCCCAAAGGACCCACGCAGCAGCGACTGGGATGGCTTCACAATTCCCATCGCACCGTCTCTCTACGACGATGCGTTGGGCGGCTCCGCAGAGGGATATGCCACCGGTGGACGCAGTACACTATCGTTCTGGGGAGACAACGGTGAAAATGGGAATCACACAGGCGGATGTTGCGCACTTCAGCCCGAGCAGAAGGCCGCGTGGTTTCGACCGTACCGTTTACTTCTCACCCCGATGACTTCTAAAATGTATCTTTCGTGGGGTGTGGAGCCGACCCTTGCGGTCACGAATGGTCCAGTTATGTTCGAGGTGAATGTGTGGAACATGCGCAGCGAGCCGTACAATGGATCTGTGGATTTTAAAATCGTGGCAAACGGTAAGAGTACCACTGTATCAAGTCCGACAGGACGGTATACACACTACGGCGACCCTCCAGCGGTTGGAGACACAAAATACAGCATTACTGTTGAACTTGTTAATGGACCAATGACAGTAAACACAAAAGTGTTGGAGACGGAAGCGGAAGTTGTGGGAAAACTCCCATGGGATGTGAAACCATGCGAAAAAGATAATATTCCGGAACTTGTACATTTCGGTGAAATGGGTGCTGCAATTGGTCCGGTGGATGGAAAAATAGCACTCGAGGAAGACTGGTTCGCATCCACCATTGTTGGTGGTGAGTCTCAAATTCGTCCTGTAGCAGGCCATTTCAATACGGCACAGACTGCTGGACTACTTCCAACGAAGTACAGATGGGAAAATGTTACCGTCTCTGATGGTGTATTCAATGCGGAGGTCCCATGCAAGAGTATACAGTACTATGCTTTTTCTGTCTACAGTGCAGTGGCACAGCGAATCGTTGTATACTACGGATTTGACAGTTCCGCTTTGGTTTACTTTGGTGGCAAACGCTTTGTTCCTCAACTTTCGGACACTGAGGGCCGTGGTTCCTTTACGGTTCAAGTAACACAAGGCTATCATCAGGTCCTTGTAAAAATGTTCTCTGATGGTTCTGGAAAGGAAGATCCCCAAACATGTACGACCAACTCGCAGTTTTGGATTCGTGTGGTTGGCACTGCTGTCGGCTACACGCATGCCGTCAAGTCGGATATCCCTGAAGGCGCTTATGAACTGTGGGGAAATGCCTACATGTTTTATCTTCTACACTTGGGAGAGAAAAAAGATGAGTTCCTCTACGGTGGACTTGATGAGGATTTCATTAACGTGCGTTACGCTGTACCGAAGCGTGGGGACCAGATGTTAAACAAAACTTGGAAAGTATTGGTCTTCTCCCAAGGGAGGATTCCAGTATCTGGGGAAACCATACCAGAGGATAAGGAAGCGGCCGTGAAATATCTTGCCTTTGCTATTTACAATGGATATGACTCAACTGTACCTGTAGGTTGGACCTTTATTACTGGAGGTAAAACTGAATTTTTCGTTGATGGTATCGTTGCTTACAGCCGCCCGAGCGATGGTGGAAGCAAGAACGAGAGTTTCACCACACCTCTTTCAAGTGGATGGCATGAAGTGATTGCACGTGTTGCTGCCACAAAGGGTCAGTCGTGGCCACTCACGTATTATATTCACTTTGACAACTATCGTCTTGGAGGCGCCATGAGCCCTGGTAGTAGTTTGCCGTTTGGTTTGGCCCCTGTTCGTCCTGGCATACCAATTCCTTCTCTGATGGAATTGGTTGATGAAGAAACTGAAAATGGCGCAATTCCATTTGACCCAAAAAATGGAACGGCAATAGACGAAAAGTTCGCCGATATCCCCATCTCTCCAAGTTATATGCCTGGATTGCTATCTAAGCAGCGTGTTTGGATCTTGGGGCAGGAGCGTCAGTTCCAATGGGTAAGCGGGACGAGCACGAATGGCATCTGGAAAAACCGTGCCTTTGGTGGGAACTTCAACCAGTATTGGGCTTTCGCACTGTACGCTACAACAGAGATGGTGGCCGATATACGTATTGCCTTTCAAGGTGGTTATGCGATTTGGATGGACGCCAAGGTTATCGGTTCAGCACCCCTCACCCCCTCATCTGAGAACGTTCATACCGTGACACTGAAATCAGGTTGGCATCAGGTGTTTATCAAGCTAAGGGCAAAGGATGCATTCTATTTGGTTGATACTGATAGTGGCAATACCTCTTGGACCAATGCAAATGCTATTTGCGCTGAGAAGAATCATACACAATTGTGTCCACATTCAGCTGTTTGCCCACTTGGTGTGGGACGACCAGGTGTAATACCAGTTGAGGGTAACTCTTCCTTTGTTCCTGTGAGCTCTAACGTGAATGAGTGGGTGCAGATATCAAAGAATGGTGGTGATGAAACCTCCTTGTGCCATAGTTGGCGAGAAACTCATGGTGGTGTGGGTCCTGAATGGGGTGAGTCTGATAAGGAGATCCAGCAGCGTCGTTTTGTGCCATGCTGTGATAGTATTCCACCGCTTTCTATGTGGCTAAGCATCACTCCAACATCGAGTGGGAAGGGGGAGCTCGGCTATACGTATGACTACCCTATTATTATTGAGGCACCAGTTCTGACAGTGCAAAACCCTGCAGCTGTCACGCAGTTGGTAACCATGACTTCTGCAACTCCAGGTGCAACAATAAAGTACAGCATCGATAATTCAGCTGAGATGAAGGTATACACAAGCCCTGTGACCATTACAAAATCCACTACGGTCACTGCCCAAGCCTTTGCAAATGACCGAGAAAGCCAGGAGACACATTTATTTGTTGATATCCCTTCTGTACCTTCTATTGACCGTGCCACTTGCCTGGCGGGTGTCTCTTGTCCTTTGACTGTAAAAGGTGTGGATCCAGGATGGCGTGTGGCATTACTTCGACAGGGAGCCCCTGGAAAAGGGATAAAGGAGTACTTGAATGAGTCGTATGCTCTTAAGCAACAGCAATCGCTTGATTTCTCTGGTGTAATTTCAGTTGGTGCTAACAACGACATCGTTGTCCCTCCTCTCGGTAATGGATCCTTCGACATCCTTACGTACGGCAAATCATCTACGGGCGAAATAGTGCAAGACCATCTCGTTTCTAGAATTACAGAAGTTTTGCCTAATGAGGTTATGGGCACCCAACAAACCGTATTTCAAATCAAAGGTGGCGTGATGGACGTTGATGCGGTGCTGATTCCGTTTGAGACAACTGGTTCACCTGAGACATGTGATGCGAAAACATGCTTCGCACAACTCACAAACAAGAAGGACCGTATTGCCATTTTGACATCCAACAGTGATGCATCTTTTACTCAGGATCTCTACGGCTACGAGGGCAACCTCAATTGCCTTTGTATCTGTCTTTCATGCTCTCCAAGGAAATCTGGCCAACGGGAAGTGGTGCTTGTTGATTCCAAGGTTGTGAGCTTACCTATTACTCTTCATGTGACAAAGTCGGGTGGGCCTACAACAGAAAGCGTAACAGCTGTTCAGCCTTCTACAGTGAGTAATGGCACCATCCTCGAATTGCATGGGAAGTTCAACATCAACACACAATACAGTGTGGTTTTCACTCCTGTTACTTCTGCGGCAGGTAAAATGATTATACCATTGTGCACTATTCAGAAGGTAATGCCAGCTGTCCTGACCTGTGAAATGTCTGTGAGAGCTGGAGTTATGGGCAACTGGAATGTGTCTCTCACCGATGGTCAGGAACCCTTGCCTTTTGAGGATGATGTTGTTCGAACACTTCGCGTTCATCCGCCAAATCCATCTGTTGATTCTGCGTCAGGAATGTGCGCAGTGGCAAGCGCGAGTTGTGTTACTGGAGCACAATTAACATTTCACGGTATCAACTTCAACCCTGTTGACACTACGTACACAAAAGTCACCTTGGCTGATAGTGCAGCAGCAAACCCTATCCAGTGTGAGGTGACTTCTGTAAGCGAAACGCAGCTCAGTTGCACACTTGACATACCGAGAGATAAGGAGAAAGGAGTGCATGCTATTGGCGTCTCTGTCCGCGTATCAGAGACGGAGTGGAGTGCGGAGCAAAGTGCCGGATTTCTTGTATTGGGAGCAGGCACTGGTGTGGCAGGATGGAAAGCCAACACCATTCCCACACCAACGAAGCCATCAGATGAGGTGAATGATAAGAGCAAAACTGCTACTATCGTCGGCGTTGTTCTTGGCTTAGTGCTGATGATGATGATCGTGGGGGTTATTGTATTCTCTATACGTCGTCAGAATCGTTCCCGCAGAGAAGAAATGTTTGAAGAATACAACCTTGACAACCATTTGCAGTTACCCGAACTGAATGTCGGGATAGTGGATGTGCAAAAAGGAAAATTTTAGGAGGTCTGGTGAAGCGAGCAACCTTTTGTTTCTTTTTCTGAGTGTTTGTGTGTAACGATTTTGTGATGCTTGCTGTTTTTTTTTTTTTTTTTTTTTGTTTTTTGCTGTTCTTGTTGTTGTTGCAAAAAATTTTCTTTGATTTTATCACACCTGGTATTTCTATTAACGCTTCTTACTCCTATTGAACGAGGGTTAATGGGGTGGTAGACATAGTTGATGGAGAAGAAATGAAATAAAAGAATGATGAACTCCTCTCTACAAATGCCTATCTTTTTATGTGATGGTTTTATGGACTACTTTCCTTATTGTTCTTCCTAACGTGAAGGACAAGAAGAACCATTACATTGTGTTTTTCTTTTTTCGCTCTTGTCATATTTTGCTTTGGCAAAGGGTATAAGACACCACATTATTGGAATGGAACAAAAAAAAAAAAAAAACATGATTCATATTTGAAAGAGATGGATGTCGATGTAAAAAAGAAAAAAACAAGATGAAAAAGAACTTGGTCTTTGTGATAAGGGGTTGCTTTATAAAGTGACCTTTGAGGAATCATTTATAGCGAACGGTAGTAAACGGGAAAATTCTGGAAAAAAAAAAGGGAATGTGTTGTAGTGGTAAAATATTTCGTTTTATTTTATCTTGAATTTTTTTTTTCTTTGTCTGGAATATTATTAATAATAATAATAATAATAATAATAATATTGAAAAAAAAAAAAAACGTGGTATTGTACTACTATTACTATCATTGCTTTTCTTGGTATGTATGGTAGGGGAAATAAACAAAGAAAATAATAGATTTGCATGTAATAGGAAGAAAGAAAGCAAAAAAAAAAAAAAAAGGAAACGAGAGAAAAGGAAAAGGAACGGTCCCTTTAAAAAGGAGCACATATTAAAAGAAATAAACAATTCTTGGAGAAATCATTTCCCTATGGAGTTGTAAACTATGTAATGCTGTATTATAGTGGTGGTGTAAAGGAAGTTCAACCATCTCTTATTTAATTTTTTTTTTTCTCTCTACTTCTCATTTTACAATTCTGAAGGGTCAAGGTTTATTAAAGAAGTAAAAGAGTGAAGAAAGAAAAGAAAAATAAAAGTTAGAAAGACCGTACAAGAAAAAAAAAAAACACTAGGCCAAGAACAGCGGGAAAAAGAAAAAAAAAAGAAATACAAAGGCGAAACTTACTTATACTTCACGTGTACGTGTGTGTTTCCCTTTATTCATTTGAGCGTTCTGAGTTCCTGCTAGAATTAACTAGTCTTTCTTCCGTTTTCTTTTTTTTTTGTGTGTGTGACGTTTTTTTTTTTTTTTTAATTTGTTCGGCTTGTGTTCTCTGTTGTGTTTGCTTGGCCTTCTTCTTTGATTCACTGACGCGTGTCTGTGAGATTGTGTGCTAGAGCTTCTGCCCCATCGATACCCCTTTTGTAATGTTTTCACTAGGAGTGGTGGAGCGCTCGTGGGAGGAGGAGGAGGGTCGGGTCCCCCCGCAGGGTTCCCCGCTGCCGGCGAAGGGACCAGGGATGGGAATGGGAATGGAGTACGGCAGCGGTCCGGGGGCGATGAGTGGCGGGCCTGGCGGAGCGGGAGGTCCGGCCTTCAGCTTCGCCCCGCATATCCGCGGCCCCTTCGCTGGCAGCGGGGAACGGCAGCGGAGTCCCCCCTTCACCAGCTCCACCCCACCACCCACCACGGCTCCTCACCAGCCCACGTGGTCCCGCTATACACCCATGGACTTTGAGTTGCTCCTTCATGAGGGCAGACAATTCACAGAGGATATGAGACGATCTGTCGCGTACCTAAAGTGGTACAACAATAAACGTATGCATGACAACCGACTGCCTCCGCCGTTAACGGATGTACGTTATGGTGCGAGAGATGCAGTGGAGGCACCATGGGACGGTGATTCTGCAACACGCGTCTCAAGCCAAGGTGGTATGCCCATTTCTGGAGGAGGAGGAGTAAGTGGTGCTGCTGTTGGTGGTGGTGCTGGTGGTGGTGCAAACATGGATACTGGAAAGAGTGGCTTTCGCTTAGAACTTGACGCAAAAAATCTGCAGCAAGCGCATGAGCAGCAGTGTTTTAACCCTTACGCAGCTGGTTTTCAGCATCGTGATGATAATTTACTGAGTCCGGGAACACAATTTTTTGGGGCATATGCACCAACACCGTTAGCAACTATGGCGACACCAAATACTCTACGCGCCTATGCTCACTCTCGTATGGCTACACAAAATCGCAGTGGAAGTACGAATAACGAACGGGATCCATCACAATCTTTAACACAAGTGCCAAATACCACTCTTTATAATAATGAATGGAATACAACTGGGGATTTTCGTACAGGATCGAATGTTATTTCTAACTTGGGTCAACAGTACTATACTCAAGAACCTATGAATCCATTTGACTACTACACTGACCCTGCAGTAGCTGGTTATTATGGAACTACTGCAGCAGGTGTAGCGGAGGCATCGCGAATGCAATCTGCACTTATGGCTATGGGTTCTGCTGGTGAAATGGGTATGATGCGTGGTGGAAGTGGCAGTGGTGGAGCTGGTGGTGGTGGTCGAGGTAGACGTGGTGGAGGAGGAGGAGGAGGAAGAGGACGAGGTGCGAGTGGAAGCAACGCAAACAGCAGCAAATGGGGTCCTGGTGGAGCTAAAGCAAATGGTCGTGGTGGTCCTTACCGTGAACCACTTCAACCTTGTTCTGAATTACTGGAACAATTTCGTGCAGATGCCATGAATGGTGCTACAAGTCAATGGCGTATTGCTCATATTGCTGGTCATGCAGTAGAATTTGCTCAAGACCAGGAAGGTAGTCGATTTATTCAAAGAGCTGTAGATACTGCAACACACGATGAAGTTGATGCCCTTTTTCATGAAATCTTTGAATCTCCTTTGGATTTGGTAACAGATATTTTTGGTAACTACGTTCTACAAAAGCTTCTTGAGATAGGTAATGCACGTCAACTGGCATATGCGGCTACGCGACTGCAAAATAATGTGGTTTCTTTAACGTTACAAACGTATGGATGTCGTGTAATTCAAAAATGCATTGAAGTAATGCCACCTGAAGGACTTGATATTATTTTGGCTGAATTACAAGGAAATGTGGCAAAGTGTATTCAAGATCAAAATGGAAATCATGTTGTTCAAAAATGTGTGGAAGTTATTCCTCAACGTTGTGGGTTTATTGTTTCAGCATTCACTGGGCGTGTTATGGAGCTGGCAACCCACGCGTACGGATGTCGTGTAATTCAATGCATTATGGAACATTGTCCAGATCAGGAAGAAGCTATTTTTTCTGAATTGGTTCAATGTGTGGGTACTTTGGCAAAAGATCAATACGGTAATTACGTTATTCAACACGTTTTGCAACATATGAAGGATGAAGATAAGGTATCGCGTATTTTTAATGCATTAAAGAATAATTTCTATGAATGCAGCAAGCAAAAATTTGCCTCTAACGTGATGGAAAAAATTTTTGTCCGTGCCAGTCCAAAACAGCGTATGGAACTTGTAGAGTTGCTGTGTTCCCCTGTTGAAGGAGTTGATCATCCAATGGTGGAGGTACTTACCTTTAAGCGTTCTCCTCCTGTGAAAAAGGATACCGCAGAGAAGCAGCGAAGCAGTGGTGGAGCTGTTGCTGCTACTGCTTCTTCCTCTACTACTGCCGCTGCTTCTGCTTCTGCTTCTACTACCACTACTACTGCTGTTACTGCAGCTCCTGCAGGTTCAAGTACCACTGTTGAGCCTGTAAAGAAAGGACGTCGTGATAAGGAACGAGAGCGGGAAAAGGAAAGTGCAGGTGGACCCGTTGTGGAGGTGCAATCCGGTGGCAAAGAACCCCCAAGTATGTTATGTCTTATGATGCAAAATCAATTTGCAAATTATGTTGTACAACGTGTGTTGGATGCAGCAGATGTGGACCAGTTCTGGTGTCTCATTGACAATATTCAAAAGTTTCTGTTACCCATCAGCACATATACGTATGGTGCACCTATTGTACAGAGATTGGTGAGACGAGAATTGGTAAAGGCACCAGATGATGTTGTGTTTAATTTATCTACAGCCGCAAGTGGATCTGGTGGAGGAAGAGGTAATTATCATCATCATAATCATCATCATCATGGACACCAACGCAAGGATGCTGCAGATCGTAGTAGTGATGAGTAGCCATAATATTCATACACTCTACATTTCCCTCCTTTTTTCTCCGTTTCATTCCCTCTCTCTCTCTCTCTCCTCATCCCATCCCATCCCTTTTTCATATATATATGAAAAAATCAGGAGTAATAATTAAGAATAAGTGAGGGTAATAGAAGTAGCTGTAGGAAGAGTGAGAAAAGGGTAAAAGGAGGAAGAAGGTTTCTCAGGGGTAAATCGCACGCATACACCCAGGTTCTCTTTTTTATTCTGTTTTTTTTTATTTTATTTTGTTCCGTTTTTTTACTCGTTTGCCTTTTCGTTTTGTTTCGGTTTCTGGGGTTTCCTTTTTTTTTTTCACTTTCCCCTGGCATTACACGATGAAGTGAAGAAAATTTTTGGCCTGTCGAGATTCTTTAGCATTAATACGTTCAACGAAAAAAAAGAAAAAAAAGGAAAGCAGAAGGGGAATTTAAAGGGAATTCAGCCTCTAAATTGGCATTAGAAAACGAATGACAGCGGGGGGGGGTGTGGGAGGTGTAGGGAAAGAGGAAAGAGATAAGAAGAAATTTAGATGACAAACAGGTAAGAAGAAATAAAGAGAAGAATTACTGTATGTGAGGTATAAAGACTTATGCATACATTTATTGTATGGTGTCTTTGTCTTTTCTTTTCTATTTATTTTTCTTCGGTATACCCTTCAGTTCACTAATTTAGATGCGATGGCAACAGCAAATAATAAAAAAGAAAACAAAAAAAAAAAAGAAAAAGATCTGTGGGAGCTGTACTTGTTGTTGCTTTTTTCGGTTTTTCTTCTTCTTTACCTTCGTCGTTTATCCCCTCCCCTTTTGTGTGTACGTGTTGGTTTTGGGCGTCTTTGTTTTTGTTTTTGTTTTCATTGTTTTTCTGTTACTTTTTCTCCTGGGATTCTGTGATATGCACAAATACACAAGCGTGCAAACATACGTGCACACGCGTAAGAAAAGCTGGTTATGCCTACCTTGAACACATGGTTTTGAAGAAATCTTCACAATTTGCGTTGTGTCTGTGTTTTATTATTATTATTATTATTATTATTATTATTATTATTATTATTATTATTATTATTATTTCCCTTTCAGACCCTTGAAGAGAAGAAGTGAGGGAGATTATTTCAATTTATTGCCATGTGAAGGAGATTATTAAAGAGAAAAGAAATATAT